TATATTAATGATTTATGTTCTGTGATGGTATAGCCGACTTTAGCATTAACCTTCTTTGTTATTAGAAGGTCTATCATTGATTTTGATATTTGCCATCAAGTATTCCAGTGTTTACTTGTAGTTAAATGATTATTTGTTTTCAATTTACGTACCATTTACATTGCTGTTGAATTTGCTTTTTCGTATTGTAGCTGTAGGTTATTATTAGTATTATTCGATATCAATTATACATTTTTGGGCTGCCTTTTGATTATTTTCTCAGTGGCATGTGTTGTTCTTGTAGTATGTGTAGTCCAGTGGTGAACGTTCTGGTCTTGTAATCATTGCTGACCTGCGTTCGATCCCGCGCGCTACCAGTGGATGGTAACCCCGGCCATTTCTTGCACACAGAGGGGGATTGAGAAGGCAAAAAACAAACAAACAGTATGTCACAGCAAAGAATATCCATTATAACAAATGGAATTGAAACTAAATCTTTAAAAATCTCTAAATATTTAAATCATAGGGGCTACGATGCGCGCCCTCCTCCTCCTCGAGCCTCTGTTCTCGTCGGCGGATGGGGGAAGAGGCAGCGCAGGAATCGACGTCGAAGAAGAGCTCGCCGAAGAGACGTGGCTGGAAATCAAAGAGGAAACCCTTGATTTCGCTGACGAATTAAGGGAGCAGGCGATCGAGGCAATGGTGAAGCGTGGATTTCCTTTCGACAAGGAACCAGGCGTGAAAGACTCGTTTGATTTCGCTCAGGCTTACAGAAGCACGATCTCGACTTCATCATTTATGGCTGAAGGCAGTGTGGACAGAGGCTCACCGGATAGGCTTCAGACGACGCATGCGGAAGGTAGTAAAGAGGCTACACGCGGGAAGGGGATTTTCGGTTGTGACGTGTGTGGTAAGAAATTCACACGTAAGGAAAAGGTCGTGATTCACATGAGAGTACATACAAAGGAGAAACCATACAGCTGTGAGGTTTGCAATAAGCCCTTCTCGCAGAAACATACTCTAGTAAGGCACATAAAAATACATACAAAGGAGAAGCCATATAACTGCTTTATTTGCAGTGAATCCTTCTCACGGAAAAACCTTTTAGTGAGACACGTGAGGCTACATAAGGAGAAGGAGAAACTTCATACTTGTGATATTTGCAAAAGGCCATTTTCTAAGAAAGAGTATCTAGTAAACCACATGAGTATACATACAAAGGAAAAGCCATATAAATGTGAGGTTTGTAAAAAGCCATTCTCGCGGAGAACCCATGTAGTGACCCACATGCGAATGTACATACAAACGCCATATATAGCTGTGATGTTTGCAATAAAGTCTTTTCACAGAAACATTTCTTAGTTAGTCACAAAGGAGTACATACAAAGGAAAAGCCATATAGCTGTGATATTTGCAAAAAGGCATTTTCTTGGAAAAATTACTTAGGAAATCACGCCAGAGTACATACAGGACACAGGCCTTATTCCTGTAAGTTATGCAGCAAAACATTCACTCAGAGAAGCAATCTAGTAAGGCACATGAAACTGCATGAAAAGAAGCATCAAATTCAAAAGGAAAGTGATCATCTTTTAGTTACTGTAGAAGTAGCTTAGACTCTGGAGAACCCTTTCCACTAACTTAGGCTTCATGTTTACTATATTGGCAATTTTATAAAGTTTCAAGTTCAACAGGATACATTTTGTTTTAAAAAGAGACATTTTCTTGAATTTTTTTTACAAATGTATTTTTATTATGCAAATATGCATAATCACTGACAACATGCGAACAGACAGCTTCTTCATCTACCTAGTGTGGCAATCCATGGAGCTGTCTGAAAATAGTCATGAATTTTGTCATGCTGTTTTATGCTTTGATACATATTTTAATGGCAAATAATCAAGGATCAAAGTATATCAAAGAGATTTAATCAAAGGCACAATCTCTCTCTCTTCGCTCCACTCTCTCTCTCTCCTCTCCTCTTCTCTCTATTCTCTCTCTCTCTCCTCTCTCCTTTCTCTCATATCTCTCTCTATCTCTCTTCTTCTCTTCTCTCTCTCCATATCTTCTCTCTCTCTCTTCTCCGTCTCATCTCGTCTCTCACTCTCACACTCACAACACAATCACACACTCTCTCTCTCTCTCTCTCACACACACACACACGCACACACTCACACACACAGACACACACACACACACGCACACACACGCACATACGCACAACGCACACACGCACACGCACACGCACACGCACACGCACACTCACGCACACCACACACACATACACAGACATTAACAGTATATTTTCTTGGTCATTTTTATACCTTAAAGTAACATTGCCACCAAGAAATTATGAAATGTTTACTTTTGAAATTAATATTTGTTAACTGATTGGACGCAGGTTTTTTTATGAGAAGTGCACCATTTTTATTTCTTCATTATTCTTAATTTTGTGGCATGTTTATATAGAGATGATTTTTTTTTCTTCTACTAAAAATGTCAGTGATTTCCAAATTTGCAATGG